AATCAGTAGATGAGCGTTACTTGTTGTTAATTCTTTCATAAATTAATTCTATTTTTTGTTACTTTTTGTTTTTCTTTCGTTCAGTTTTTATGCATTCTTATAGAAATGAATCACGTGAATATGTTGACAATCTTTCATCTCTAAGTAACTTGTCCACCATTGTTACTTTAGAATTTAACCAAAACAATGATTTAAGACTGTCCGATGTTGTGCCTGATATTATACTATGCGTTTAATTATTTAGAAGAAAGTTTGAAACACACATACTATTAAAAATATCGTAAAAATCTCTTTGTGCAAATAATACTAGAACGTTGTCAAGGAGTTATAGATCTGGCATAATCATTTTTTACAACTGATAACTTTTTATTTTACTTTTTTCGAATAGATTTGTAAAGAGCATATTCTAAATAACTCAGTGTTCCTTGTATCTGTAAGATTACAGCGACAATGTTGCTTTCGCATATTCATGTAGAAGTCTTAAAAGTGGACTTTAAAAAAATCCATTATCTTAAGATAAAGATAAGAGAAGTATTCTATAGTGACTTTAATGAATCCAATGTTATGCTAAAGTTGTTTTTTACACCGAAATTCCGCTGTTTTCACCTGAAATACATAAAGTAACTATTGAAATTTGCAGCAAACGAATCTAAATGAATGTTTTTTTTAGAAACTACAAGTTATGTGTATTCAGTATTGAAGAACTTATGCTGAATAGTATGTTTTATTAGAAAAGTTTGCTTATTTCGTTATTTTTTCTTCTTGCTACATGACAGCAGTTCCTCAAGCGAAACGTACACAGAGTTGATTTGGTATTTGACATGTTTTTATTTTTGAGTTACATTTTGATCAAATAGATTCATGATAACTACCGATAATGATTTAAAAAGACTGATTTTATTTATATATTACTCACAATTATATTATATCCTATGTGAAATAATTAATCTGAAATAATTTCGTTTTCTTTATTTTTAGAGCATGGGTAAATATCACAATACTTATTATGCGTACTTCATTGCTTTTCTTGCCTACAGTGATTGACAATCCAACGCTTACTCTTACTTTTAGCCGAATAGAGAAGCTTGTAATAATTTCAGATCACATGTACTTTTCATTGAAGTATGGCTCAAAAATTATCGAACGTTTTCCATTTTTGACACAGATCGAAATTGATGTCTATTCGCTCGATTCCTATGCACCAATTGTCGATATTTTTCTCAGTGATCTTGCAAAATTACGCCTTGTAATTGTAGAATTTTTTCATGATAGTTTACTAGATGATACAATCTCACGAGATCATGTCATAGAAAAGCGAGGTCGGTCGTTTGGTTTAAATAGGAACTATAAATACAAAATAATTGTAATAATTGAAGATCATAACTTGTATATTTGGATTCCATGATTGTTGACTTTTATATTTTGTTATTTCATATTACATAATTAAAGCGATAAAGCATATAAAGCTTGCAAGTTTATTTTCCCTTACTGGCTATTTTACTAACTACTCGTTGGCCAAAAATAAATGTTCATATATTACAAATTAGCATGTCTGTTATTCTTGAGCGAAAAAAGATCTTATGGACTTGTATATAGCAGCCATCAGACAAACTTTGAGAAAGAACACAGAATTATACTGCATATGATAGTGTAACATGAACGCTGATGAGACTAGATGTAAGTCTGAATGAAGAAAGTTGGTGATCGTTTGATGCCTTCAAAACAACGGACATTGTATATGATCAAACAGAGATCATGACATTCAATGAAACGAAATTCGACTGTGAAACCTTTCTTTTTTTTTCACTTAGTGCTAGATGGAAACAAGCTTTCACTGTCGGTGAGCAACATGAAGTAGAAATAAACACGAGTCATAGGAAAAGAATTTTCATTGATCTTTCATATAGATAGAAACCCATAACAGGTATTATACGTAAATAAATCAGATACAAAGTTGAAAAATTTTCACAACTGAAAGAAGATTAGTGTAACAAACATATCATATGTTTTTTTCTACATACCAAATCCTAGTGTTCACTGTTACTTTAAGATTGAAAATTTTTTTTATGTAACAAGTTTAATCACATTTTTTCAGAAATTACGGTCTTGTTTAGGACCAGAAATCAAATCATCAACATGAATAGTATCGGATTTAACTTTGGTATTATCTATTTGTGCCAAATAAATAGCAAACAATGCTTTAACACCATATGGATCAGATCTAAGACGATAACTACATTAAACTATGATTCTTTAATTAAGAATCTGAGTTTCGTAATAACCACGAACGTTGAAATTTTCAAAGAAAGCATTGGATCAAATAACCCATGTAGCTATCTGTTCGGAAGAAAGAGATACTCTTTTGTGAGAGTCATATTTTGGCCTAACTTTCGAAGCATAATAGAAGTTGTTGCATGCAATTGTTTTTCAGAAAATGCTCAAAACCAACATGTTTTTTATGTTTGCCTAATCGTATTGATTATTCTTAGATACTAATCCTTTTTCTCAGAAAATGTGAAAGATAATTACTGAAAGGCTATAAGTGTCTAATTCCAGTTTGGAAAACATCTTTTCAAGATTGTCAATTGTAACAAATAGCCTTCATGTTCACAAGAAAGGAGATAAAAACAAAGAAAGGCTATTCTTTACATTATCTGACAATATTCTATTGCATTTGACAATAACCTAGAATAAATATGTCAAGAACTTTCACTTTATGAATATTCTCTCTCAGGATGTCGAGTTAATATCGAGCAACGTAGAACTTGAAGGTAAGTTCAGATATTGAAGCACATTTCAAGAATTCAATCATTTACGTATTCAACTTTCTTACATTGAGAGAAATATCTAGGTGCGTGTTTCCATAGTATTCACATCAAAAGAGAAGTGTATGCATGTTTTCATGATACTCACGTCGACAGAGATATGTGTATGTTTTCTCAACGTCTACATCGAGAAATGATCCACCTAGTTGAATAGTTAAGTAGTTGAATTGATGAGTTTAATAATTGAATTCAACTTTCAAGTTTGACACTACTGGCTATTTCACGATTAATATCCAGCGAACTCATCTACAAATCGATTACAAAAACACAAATCTTCATTTCTCACATGCCTACCATCAGTATTGTTGAGTTTTATGTATAGATGTCGACAGTGAAAGTACATTTGCTATTAAAAGAATGAACGAAAGGAGGTTTTTGTTTTGATAGACAGTAACAAGAATGGAAAATTATTTTTTTTGCGTTTTTCATTATAGATTGTTTTTCTCATTAATAAATTTTATCCTTTGGAAAGAAAAATATATCAACATTATTAGATAAAGATGATACTGATCGAAATCATGACTAGAAGAAAGTCGTACAAATCTCGTCTAACTGACATACTTGATATTGGTAAATACGTATTGAATGCTGCATCTGAAAAAATTTATTACATTATCAAATCATATCTTTTCTATTGATGGATCGCATTGTCGGTGTATTAAAAACTGAAGTGAGATTAAAATTAATTCAAATGATTGTCGACCATCTATGTACACGGGGATCAAACAAGCACAGTCGTATATCTCCTTGTCGTATACAGAGATATACGACGATATACCCAGAAAAAACCGATCGTTTATTATCCTTGTATATAGAGTTCGTATACGGTCAGAACGACATACCATCATAATATTGAACCATGCAAAACGTCAAAATACGGCCGTATCGTGAACTTATTTGGTCGTTTAAAGGAGTATACAGACTCTGTATTTGTTGATAGGGATACATACATAACACATGAATTCTATTATGATAATAATAACTTATTATAAATATATTTCTTTATTTTTTTATCGATTTGAATTAATAAACATTATTATTTTATTCAACAAAATAGTGAATTAGATAACAACAACTTCTGTCAGTTATTATGTGTAATTAGACAGAAAAATTTACTTCAGAATTGCGAAATAATCTATAATGATCGTTACAATTCCTCTTCATAGTTTTCACTGCTAGGTACATATTTAATAATTATAATATCATATAGAACAATAACAACAGAAGATATTTGTTTATTTTCAAAAATATTACAAGATAATGTTATGAATAAAAATATTTCCAATTGGCCAATATTAAAAGACTTTATTAAATTATTTAGTGCATAGTATGCGGACTTACTTTGTTAAAAAAATATATATGAGATTAAATCAACTAGAATTCCGCCTGGTCTTTGGCTGAAGACATAAGTCGGCTGACTACAGACGCGCTCAGTTATTATTGACGATAATAAATATGAAACTTCAAGAAAAGAAGAAGCTAGAATTAACATGATTAACACTAAAATTTCCTCACTATCACCTATTGAATCATTGCCAACAATAAATGATAATCATTAGCTCTTAATTTTCGATTTTCTGTATATATTTTTAAATTGCTTGGTCGCCATTCTAGAAATTTTCGAGACTTCGTCACAGACGCTTTTATGTCGCACAAGACAATAATTAATTGAAATATGTATGCATTGGACATCCTATATATGTATAACCACTCTAAGATTGAATCATGCATAGCCATATAAGGAAACTATTACCTGTTACTTATCATTTTAAACATTGTTTATATCTCTCGAACGCCGCCGAATTTTCGACTAATATAGAAAGATTCTATACGTCTGATTGATACATTTGAGCATGAGATATTTGCCACAAAGACTCATACTTATTTTTATAAAGTTTTATTCTTAACCTCTTGGATACCGTTAGTTTTTTTCGTTCTGTCTAAACATAGATAAAAATAAGAATGTCACTCTCTCTTTCGTTCTGTCGTTTTCGATCAGCTGTGTTCATATGCTTTACTTTATCGATGATAAAGCACGGATTCATAAAGTAATCGCAATATGTATACTTCAAAATAATATGAAGGAAATAAAAAAAACATGTGTATCTTGCATAGGAGAAAATCTGAGAAGAGAGATAGAGAATTTCTGTGTAATCACTTTGTTGAAAACCTGAAATGGACAAGGAGAATGTTTTCGATGATGATAGTGATATTGAATGCGAGGAAAAGCCTATGTTGGCACTGTCGGGTTCGGATATCGATGAACTGGAGAAACAATTGATGAATACAACTGTACATTATGAGAGTGAAGAGTATAGGTAATAACTTGATTTTATTCAATATAAATAAAATAAAGCAAGATTCTTCTGTAGTGATGACGATATTGTTTATCCGTACGATGCTGTTGAAAAGATGGATAAGGTTTTGCATCATGAGAAAGACACTTATGAGAGTGAAGAATATAGGTAAAGATATCAATGTGTTTCATTTTATCAGTAATATGTATTTTATTGTTGCAGTGATGATGATATTATATATCCACACCGTTCTACCAGTTACTCATCAATCCTACAGCAAACTACTAATGAACAATGGACACTAGTTGAACCTGGAAGTGATAAGATACCAAAAGTCTTACCCGATTTCAACGAGAAAGTTGGACCTACCTTTTCAGTTAGTTCATGTCCTTCACCATCCGATTTCTATAACGAAATGCTACCTGATTCGTTATTTGATTATATTGTTATATGCACTAACACGCGTGCTCATCTTCATTTTGGCACTCCTATATCATCATCAGAATCTAAAGAATCATGGAAGCCAGTAAGAATTTCAGAAATTTAAAGCATATTTTCAATCTTCATATTGAGGTTACACGTGAAGAAATCAAAAAGTTTTTCGCTATTATTGTTCATATTGGTTTGATTTGCAAAAGATCAATTAATGAATATTGGTCGACTGATCCTTATTTAATAACACCAATATTTTATTCTCCAGAATAGGGTGTGGGTGTGGGTGTGGGTGTGGGTGTGGGTGTGGGTGTGGGTGTGGGTATGGGTGGGTGTGGCTGTGGGTGTGGGTGTGGGTATGGGTGGGTGTGGCTGTGGGTGTGGGTGTGGGTATGTATATCGAATGAATGATACGCCTACACCTACACCCACACCCATCCACACTCACACCCACACTCACCCACGCCCACACCCC